GACAAGGGACCCAAAGGAAGACTAGAGAAACCTTAAGTCCCTTACAGAATGTGGAAAGCAATCTAGCTACAGAGAAAGTTGAGAAGACTGAAGTATTTAACACCTTTTTTACTTCATTTTTCACAAATAGGGACAGCTACCAACTGACAAGTGCAGTTGACAGTAGAGATAGGGAAGAAGAAAAACACCCTAAAGTAATGACAGAACAGGTAAAGAATTACATAGAGAAGCAAGATGCTTTCAAATTGGCAGCAATGGATGGGATGTCCTAAGGGCACTGAAGGTAATTTCACTGAGGTAATTTTGGAGCCATAAGCTATCCTTTTAGAGAATTCATGGAGGTTGGGCAAGGTCCCGGATGACTAGAAAAGGGCAAGTATGATGCCCATTTTTGAGAACGGGAAAAAGGAGGATCTGGAAGACTACAGACCAGTTAGTCTGATCTCAGCACTTGGAAAGATTCTGCAGCAGATCCTACACTGTGATGAACCTAAAGGAGAACAAAGTAACAGAGAACAGTCAGACTGTTCATGGACTGATGAAGAGCAAGTCATGCCTGACCAATCTGGTTTCCTTCTATGATAAATTGACAGGCACTGTGGATGAGGGGAGAGCAGTGGATGTGGTATACCTTAACTTTAGCAAGGCTTTTGACACTGTCTCCCACAATATCCTCATTAACAAGCTAAGGAAATACAAACTAGATGATAGTACTGCAACCTGGATGTATAACTGGTTGGATCATATCCAGAGAGTAGTCCTCAATAGCTCAATGTCTAGTTGGGTGGAGGGAACATCTAGTTGGAAGAAGTGGGGTTTCCCAGGGGCTTACCCTGGGTCCAGTATTGTTAAACATCTCCATTAACGATCCAGATGATGCAGTCAAGTGCATACTTAGCAAATTTGCAGAAGACACTAAGTTGGGTTGAATTGTGGACACTCCAAGAGGGAAGGGCTAGGATCCAGAAAAAACCTGGACAGACTGCAGATATGGTCCACAATCAATCAGAAGAAATCCAGCAACAAAACATGAATGACCTACACTTGGGACAGAATAACCGCATGCATATGCAGACTGGGGAATGAGTGGTTTGGTTGCTGTACCACAGAGAAGGACCTGGGAACCATAACCTAAATACGAGACAACAGTATGCTTTTGTTGTAAAAAATAGCCAATAGCATCCTGGGGTGTAACAACAGGTGTGCCACTTGCAAATCAAGAGAAGCAATAATTCCACTCTATTCAGCAGTGCTGGTTGGACTAACCTAGTCTCATCTAGAGTACTATGGCCAGTTTTGGGCCCCACAGTTCAAGATGTGGATAGTTTGGAAAGAGTCCAGCACAACAAAAATAATTCAGGGCCTCAAAGGCATGACTTATGAGGAAAGGCTGAAAGAACTAGGGTTATTTAACATGGAGAAGAGTGAGGGGGAATTTAATACCAGTCTTCAAATACCTGAAGAGTGGTTATAGAAAGAAGGGAAATGGGCTTTTCTCTGTGGCTACAGGGGACAGGACTAGGAGCAATGGCCTCAAGCTGCAGCAGGGGAAATTTAGGCTGCAGATTAGAAGAAACTTTCTTACTATGAAAGTGGTCAGGCACTGGAACAGGCACCCTCAAGAAGTTGTACATTCTGCATGCTTGGAAACAGGTTAGATAGATGCTTGGATGGGATATTTTTGTTAGGGATCATCCTGCCTTGAGCAGGACGCTAGACTAAATGACCTTATGAAGTCCCTTCCAGCTCTACCTTCCTATGATCCTACATATTTAAAAAAAACAAAGTGTAAAATTTAATTTTCATAAATGTGTCCAAAGCATTGGGAATGGGCTATTATTTTTCATAAATTGATTTTAAGTTAGAAAAAAAAGGATTTCATTCATGCATGTAGATTTTAAAACTAGAAGGAAGGTCATGCAATGTAACACTACAGATTCATAGATGTTAGGGTTGGAAGGGACATCAGTAAGTCATCAAGTCCTACCCCCTGCCCTGGGCAGGAAAGAGTGCTGGGGTCAGATGACCCCAGCCAGGTGCTTGTCCAGTCTCCCCTTGAAGACCCCCAAGGTAGGAAACAGCACCACCTCCCTTGGAAGCCCATTCCAGATTCTGGCAACCCTTTCTATGAATAAGTTCTTTCTAATGTCCAACCAAAATCTGCTGTCAGTCTGTGGCCATTGTTCCTAGTTACCCCCCGGGGGTTTTCTAGTAAATAGAGCATCTCCTATACCCTGCTGCCCTCCCCTATGAATTTATAGGCAGCCACAAGATCACCTCTCAGCCTTCTCTTGAGAAGGCTGAAGAGATCTAGGTCCCTCAGTCTCTCCTCGCAGGGCCCTGCCTGCAGGCCTCTGCCCACATGAGTGGCCTTCCTTTGAACCCTCTCAAGATTCTCCGCATTCCTCTTGAAGTGTGGTGCTCAAAACTGGACGCAGTATTCCAACTGCGGCCTTACCAGTGCTGCATACAGGAGAAGCACCACCTCCCTGGACCTGCTTGTCATGCATCTGATAACACATGATAAAGTGTCGTTAGCCTTGTTGATCACTTCGTCACACTGATGACTCATGTTCATCTTGGGAATCAGCTATGACTCCAAGATCTCTTTCTGCTGCTGTGCTGCTGAGAAGGTCATCCCCCAGCCTGTAAGTGTGTTGGTGGTTCTTTTTGCCCAGGTGCAGCACTCTGCACTCGTCTTTGTTGAACTGCGTCCTATTTCGTTCTGGCCATTTTTCCAACCTGTC